TGGGAGGGGGGGGGGGGGAGTAACCTCTCTTAATCGAAGATTTTTTCTTATTATATATAGTCAAGGCACCCTTGCCATTTACTTGGTCCAACGCTCTCTCGCCTCCAGCATGTCTTGGTCGTCCTTTTAGGCATTGCTCTTTCCGGCTCGACGGGTATCGGGAAAGGGATGTATAGTGGGTTATGTTATCTTTTACTGTCCGGTCACTTAGGCGGGATGTTGGTCAGTTCGACCGTGACGGCCAGATTTGACCAATATATAACTAATTTCACCCTACATCACTTTAATTTAAAGCTCAAAATCTACAACAATTTCTTCCCTTTAATTTTTTTCTTCTCTTTCCTCTATTCATACATGAAATGCTTACTTGCATGTTAGAGTTGCATATTAAACCGGTTTAATTTTAAGAGTTGCGTATTAAATGAGAATGCATATTACTTAACCGATATTAGTTGTTAAAATAATATATGCTCTTGCATTTATTGAGCAACAAAAGTCCACCGATCCTCTAACTGACACCAACCAATAAAATTCCTTTTTTTTTTACTTCAGGATCCATAGTAACAACAAGAATTGTGATTTGATAAAAATATCTTTAAAATTTATTTTTTCAAATAACCAGACCTCCCAGAAATGATCCCAGAAATTGTTCAAACATGTTTGATTTTATTGATTAATGTTTAAAACGTGGTCAATTACGTCTAAACATGTCTTCAAGTCATTTTTGGTAATAATAGGAATGACTGTGGCGGCTAAGAGGAACGAGCTTTTTGACTTTTATTGTGCTATGTGTGTAAATGACGAGGTTATGTTTCCCACCGCTAAAGCATTTGCTTATCTCCAACTATTTTTTTTTTTTTTTTATCTTTTTAGTATCTTATATGAGTTAGGTTGGATTAATTTGGGTTCGCATCGAAAAGTTTTACGTTAGGGTAAAAAGCTCCCTAACAGAAAATAACTTTATTCCCGAGACTTTAACTCGAAATCTCTAGTTAAAGATGAAATAATATATACTTACTGTCTCGCTGCGACCTTTGGAGGTATTGTGATTTTATATGTCATATAACGTACAATATATTTGACTTACTTTCTAAAAGAAATCAGCACATGCACTTATCGCAAAATTCCCATCTTCTTATCTTGAAAATAAAAGCTACTTTTAAGAGAGCAGCTTGGCAGTAAAGCTGTTTCCTTTTAATTCTTAAATAGTGGAGTATATATACTATACTAGTTTTTCATTTAAGGTTTCACGTTATTATGTTGGAGGTCCTTAAAATAATTTGTTACTGTATAATATTTTTGTCCCCTAAACGTTTAAATCTATCCTTCCTCAACTTTCAGGATTGGGTTGAAGTTTAGTAAATCCAGAGTAGAAGAATATTTGTAACCAAATACAAGGACTTTCAAATATTTTTTTCCAGCTTCAACTCTAAATAATCAATGTCTGTATTACTTTTACTTTTTCAAAATAGTATTATTCAACCTTAGAATCCACAACCTAAATTTCATTATTATAACCAAAGTGCATACACGGCGGCCTATATTTACTGTGTCATGTGACCAACCTTTTTCACAAAAAAGGCCAATGGAATCGTTCTGTTTAGAGTCGTAATCTTTAGGTGTTTGACAAAACAAATAAGTCGCTGGGACATGACACTCAGCACTAATTAGCACATATACGTCTAGTGGGCTTTACCTTATCTTACTGCCCACTGGCCTCCTATTAAGTACGGATTTGATCCGAGCAATTTGCAGTCATACTCTATATTTATGTCACCTTTTAATTTGTACCTTATTTTTAAAAATTATTGATTTCGTAGCTAACTAGCAAAAAAATCCGTAGTAATATGATCATTATACCCCTCCCAACCAAAAAAATCTTCTGTCCAGCGGAATCCGCCATTCTACTATCCCTCAAAGTTATATCCACCCTCAATCCGATAGGCCACTCCTTTCTGAAGTCGCTGATTGTGAAAATGTTCCAATAATTGATATGGGCTGTGGAGATAGAAACCTTTTAGTTCATCAATTTGGTATTTAAGAAGTATACCAAATTGGAGGAATCTGACCCAGTGGCGAAGCCAGGAATTTATTCAAGGGTGTTCAAACATGAAAGAAGTTAAAAATATTCTCCCAGAAAGAGTGTTCAATATATGTTATATACCTCTAAAATCTAATATTTTATCTATATACACAGTGTAATTTTCCGACGAAGATCTGACCAAGAGGATTACATAAGTTAGTGAGCACCCGTATTTCCATCTAATACTTTCAACGTTCGAATCATATGGAAAGTCAGTTAAAACTTCAACTCTAAGAAGGCTGAAGTTCGCCAGTTACAAACAAAAACTTCAGCTCTAGAGCTGAAGTTCGCCAGTTACAAAAACAAAATTTCAGCTCCTAAAGTTGAAGTTCACCAGTTACAAAACAAAAACTTCAGTTCTAGAGCTGAAGTTCACCAGTTACAAAACAAAAACTTCAGTTCTAGAGCTGAAGTTCACCAGTTACAAAAACAAACACTTCAGCTCCTAAAGCTGAAGTTCACCAGTTACAAAATGGCTCGCAATATATTTCGACACCGTGGGAATGTGCAATCACATGTATAATCAATCATGAAAAAGATGAAGATTCTCTTTCCAGCGAATTCTTCCATGCACGTTCACTATAAAGAGGAAATGGCAAAGGCTTTTTAAGATCATCCTTCTGTAGTGTTGGAAGAAAAGAAAATTTTGAAAGTGAATTTATTGGTGATGAAATTAACTTTTCCTCCCATTTTTGGTTCTGTAAAGTCCTAAAACGCGCTTAACGACTTTGCATTGTTCCTCGAAATAACATAGGTGTACTGTTAGCTTCCTTTGAGAAAATTCCAGTTTTAACATAGAGGACTAGCGTATACTTGGAGAGAAAGTAGTCTTTTAATAAAGAAGGGCAAAATAGTCTTTTTAAAAAGCTTTTAACAACAAAACGGGTACAGGTTAAAAAGGGGCGCCCAAATAGGGAGCCCCATGCGATTGTTACATTTGATTCGAACCCAATTTTTTTTGCTCAGTCCCCATATTAGTATTAAATTTTTTTATTAAATATATATAAATATTAATTGCAAATCAAATAGGAGTAACTAAACAATCTATGAATTTCCTAAGAAGTTTAGAACGCACAAATTTCAAGTTCTGTCTCAGCTGCCAAGTTCAATTTGCAATGCAGGTTAGGTACTACCACAATGGCGACTCACTTAATGAAATACTTTGAATACAGAAACAGTAACAATTCAGACTACGAACACTATCAATAAGAACATGCATAACTTCTAATAATTTTTCTCAGAATATTTTGCTAAATGCTAATTTTTGGTCCTACAATTATCTTGTCGGTCAGATATTTCTGTGTCAAGTTTCACTTTTCCGTACAACAATAAGATATAGATAATGGCTCTATTATGTTGAGTAATAATAACCAAATTGCATATGGAAGTGAAAATTCTATAATAACTGTATTATAGGAATCATCACGAATTGTCAAGTTTTACGTTGACTGTCAGCCTACCACAATCCTCTTCCTTTATCCGCGCTTCGGACCAACAAGATAAGCTAGCCCACACAAGCAGAAAAAGAGGGAGAATGCTCTGAACTCTCTTTCGATTACATAGGCGAAATTTACTATTAGGCCACAACTCTCAAATTGCCTAGTGATAAAGGTCCTACGACAAATATTAACGAATTTAGAAAGCATAGAAAAGTAAACTATCGACAGAAATAATTTCCTAACTTTTTCCATTTTGATTCAACTATTCGTTCAACGTACATGTAACATATATTATCTTGAAGGAAGAGTTAGTTAAGATAAAGGAATGGCTATTAATCACAGCCAAAGGACAGCTGCCCAAACTTAATTAGCAGATAATGACTTGGCCACGACCTTTTTTAACTGATACTGATAGCTCCATGCTATCCACAACAGTTTCTCAAAGCCAAGAACACCTAACCTGATAGACACATCAACCTTAGTCAGCAATTTTGAATTCTACCAAACCACTGTCTGCCTGAATAAATGGAGCAGCCACTTTAGGAGTAGTATTTCTTTATATCTAGGATGAATCATGTGTTGAACAAGTTGCCGTTAATATTGAAATTAAACTAAGAAAATTCTATTAATAGTCAAATGAATCAGCAAAATAAAGTTAGAGATGACTCATATATTCTGTCTTACAATGTGAAAGTGAAACATCAACTGAAAGCAATGTATTTTGACAATATGGAAGTTTCTCTATTATCAGAGTTTCTCAACAAAATACATTACCTGTATAGCATAATAAGCCCGATGCAAATGTCACCAATGTCTTTGTCCTTCAATCAATGAGGCGTGTATTACTCCAAGCAACAATAGCAGCCAGCCACTCCTCTTTCATTACCGTCAGCTGATGCAGAAAGAGGGAATGACAGATTGAAACTACAAGAATTTTATCATTGTAGTTATCAATCAAGACAAACAAGCTCAAAATCCCATGTCATCTATCAGCCAAAGATTATGCAAATATTTAAAGCTTGTACGTTGCATTATTTGTTATGCAAATATTCAAAGATTTTAACTTAAATACTCCAGTAGTAGCGTTCCACACAAACATCCAGTAATGTTCTGGCTTAAGGCACTAGACAGTGGATGTTGATCTACAGCGAAAAGAATCTCCCACCCATTCCCCCAAACCCCCTTCCCTAAAAAAAAGGACAAAAATAATAGAGGGAAATAAGAAGCCATGGGATCAGAGAAATGTAATCTAACTTCCAGATAGTACATGCATGTACTGGGAAGAATCACGAGTACGCATGTACTTCTTGAGGATCTATTGATGGCCATGTGGTAGCATAATGCTCCCAGATGAATCTGACACTCTATTCAGCTGAAAGCTGCTTGGCTAGACCTCGAAGGAAACGGGTGAGGGACCTTTCTGCACGGACAATATCACTGTTTACTTTTCCTTCATCATCCTCGTCTGAATTGCTCCGTTGTTCTCGTATTGATTGTACTTTCCTAACAAGACCACGTAACTCCTGTACAGTGAGATAAGACAATTAGGTAAATAGTATACCCTGGCAAGACAAGCAAATTGTAGTTTACATACAAAAGGCACATAATTTTTCTTTAATTTCTCAAGTAGGGGCAGCATAAACCATATCAACAGTGTAAGGAAATTGTTGACAGCTTTAAGTTTACAGTGATGAAAGGCACAGTTAAACAAGAGAACAATTAGGGGTGGTTTGGTAGGATGTATAAGAATAATGCGGAATAAGGTGTGTTAGTAATGCATGGATTAGTAATGCATGTGTTAGTAATGCAAGCATTAGTTGTGCATATATTATTTCTTATCTACTGTTTGGTGTGGTGTATCAAAATTATAATGCATTGCATAATTTTTAAGAAAAATAGTTGTTTACAAAAATGCCCTCCATATTCTCTAGCTTTAAAGGCTTTAAGGACAATTTTGTCTTTAAACATACTAATGCATGCATTAATAGTATGATGTATAACTAATACATGTATTAGTTATACACATGTTGAAAAAATGTACCAAGCAAGGTATTAGTAATGCATAGAGCTAATGCTTGCATTTTTTTTTCTAATACCTCCTACCAAACGACCCCTTATAGTGTTATAGGTTAGGGTGTGCCCACTTGACAGCCGGAAAGACTGATTTATCCATATTAGTTCTTCTTTTCTAGTTTTTCTTTACTGGTTATTTGTCTTAAGGGATGAACAGATACAGGCCAGAGATTCAGTATGAGAATCATAAAATCATGTTTCCATTCAACTTATAAACCAGAAATTCCAAAATGCCAACGGAAAGGACAAATAACTCCAGATCCGCGCATAAGCAGCTGAACTAACCTGGCGATCAAAGTCAACCTCAGTTAGAGAATAGATTTCTTTTGTGATGTCAGCGTCCTTATCTATCAAGCCATCAAACCACCTATCAGCTAAAGCAATATCGTCCTCAGAATCCTGAAAACAAGCAAGAGTTAAAAATGTAATGTTTCCTGGGTTTCAGTTAACCTGGTCTCATGTAATTACAGGACCATTTTTGGTGCTATGACTCTGTGCGGTACTTGCATTTATATTTACTTAAGAGCCATCGTAATACTTTTTGTTCAGCCTGATTTCATGTCTGTTTTGGTGTTCTAAAATATCACCTAAGTGCCATTTGTCAAAATTAGTTCCTGACAAACTTTAAATCGCAGTAGCACTATGCTATCTACCCCATATAGCAGGACAGCAGTTCTAATACTTGTTCAAATCTTCATGGAAAAAAATAAGCATTTTTAGTTTGCTATGCTCTGTCTCAATTTTTAACACAGAAAAGCAGCCAAAGAATTTTGATTCCCTCAGATTGTTTTGAGAAAAGAAAACAAGAGGACTGGGATTATGTGGTACATCTTCGTCATCCTCATATTCAGTCTCTTCAACTTCCTCATCAACATCTTCAGTAGCCGAAAGTTCCGAACCAGATAAAGCCTGAAATTTAGTTTGGTCTCCATCTTTTGTTGCCTGAATTAAACCATCCATCAATTCAGGATCAACTTCCCGCAATAATCTACCTACCATGAATTCGTATCACATTGTGAGCATATAGCTTTGGACATACACCATTTGCTCATAATAAAAGATTTCAGGAGGATACACTGAAATTATCACGCCACAAACATTTCGAGGGTTATTAGCCCAAAAATATTCAGAAAAATATCCAAGGTTTATGAGCCCATAGATTTTAGAATTCAAATCATTAAAGTAAACCATCTCTTTGTAAAATGCAGATAAATAACAACATTAATAGCACGGTATTCAGTTTGTATCACCACATTTAGTAATATGAATAATGGATCAAGAACACAATACACATTCAATCAATTAATAAACCACAACTCTTAATACTGAACTTTATGGTTTTTAGTCATGGGAATGAACAGTATAGATCAATTATACAAAGCACCTTTTCCTAGAGAAAAATGGGCCAAAAGACATGACAAGCTTATTCACTATGGCCTGGAGCGAGCACAAATGCAGAAATGAGAAGGCAGTACGTAGATAATGTATTCACAAGGGATATCCAATTATCAGATTACTTCTTTTGTTATTGACATGTATAGTACTCAAACAGCTATAAATAATAGCTGGATTTTCTTAATAACAGATAGTATATAGGTCAAACATTAAGTGATAGACCAGCACTTTTTTCACTAGAATGTCTCTTCCCAAAAGTACATATTTATAATTTGTTTAGTGCTTCTGCTCAAGAATAGTATCCAGTTGATTCCTCTTCTTTCGACTGGGTATATGTACTGCAGTATTATTATTTAGTGTTTACCCTCCAGTTGCATGAACCTCCGAAAAAATATGAGATAAAGAAATTTAGAGTATTCAATTAAAACTTATACTGTAATAACTAATAAGTTGTGCTGCGCAGTTCCCAACAACTAAATTATTGAAACTCCACAGTATGCCACTACTTCCTTTTCCATTAGTATGAACTATCAAGTATTAAGCAGCTTAAATTCTCCGAGTGCCTATTTTCATTCACCAATTTGCTATTTTGCAATCTCGTTTACATTTTAGGTGCATCAGTTTCAACTCACAAGTTTGTTTTATCAACTCTGTTTTGTAGCAAAGAGACCTAGTTTCCACTGAGCCCTATCCCTTAAACCTGTCATGGAATCCCACTCCAATGACCAAAGTCCTACTGTGAGAATGAAAAACTTGCAAGAGGAACTCAAGAAGTTATCGAACAATTACACATTAGATCCGAAGGCAGTTTCACACAAGCATTCCTACTACTCAGTTCTACCCTTGTTGTTTCTCAAACCTCTAGCAGCCTATCACATCTCATAAAATATTTGCTTATCTGGATAATTGTAAAGGACTCTTCACTGATTCAACCTTGTCCATTAACATAGCCCTTATCTGTATCTCTTTGTTAGCCTTTTCTTTAGGAGTTTGTTAGGTCGTATGTATCTGTATCTTCCAGAAGATTTATTGTTGTAATTTTGCTCTAAATAAAGAGCTACTACTTCATTATTAAAATTAACTCCCTTTCATTCAGTCTATAACCTTCCTTTTTATGGTATCAAGAGCTTAAAAGTACTCTTGCGAGTCAAATCCTAGTTTCTTTTCCCCATCCCTACCCGACCCGAATAGCTGCTACTGTTGCTCATGCCGATGCTTCGAACAACACTGTTGTTCAGTTTAACCCTGTCACACAACTTCCTATTAAGCTTGCAGGTAGTCATAATTTTTCCCTCTGGAAGGCTCCGGTCTCGATGCTTATGCGTGGGCACGATATCTATGGCCATCTTGATGGAACTACTCCTGCCCCTAGGCAAACCATCTCCTCAAACAATCAAGCTGTTGACAACCCTGCGTACCTATCCTGGTTTCGCCAAGATCAGCTTATTCAAAATACCATCCTGCCTTCAGTTGATCCTACCCTTGCTGCATATGTTGCTTCAGCAACCTCTTCAAAGGCTACTTGGGATGCGCTTCCCATGGCGTATGCCAATAAATCCCAAAAACGAATTTTTAGTCTACGAGATCACTTAGCTCGTCTTGCAAAGAATGCTTTACCTGTCGCTGACTATATGCATCAGGTTCGCTCTCTTTGTGATGAACTTGCTACAGCCGGTGCTCCTGTATCCAACGAGGAACTCATTGTGAGATACTTACTGGTCTTGGATCAGATTTCAAAGAATTTTCAGCAGCTATTCGGGCACGAGATACTACCATCTCATATGAAGAGTTGTATGAGAAGTTACTTGACCATGAACTCTACCTGAAGCATCATGATACTCATGCTTCTCTCTGAAATTCCATTACTGCTGCTATTGCACAACGATCTACTGCTCAACCTCGCAACAATACCAACAGCAGGCGTTGCAACAACGCAAACAACAATCAACCCAATCGAGGCCAACCATGGAAGCCTCGTAAGAACTTTCTCAGTCTGACAACAATCTGATTTGCCAGCTATGTGATCGTCCTGGCCACTCTGCCCGAGTCTGTCGCAGCCAGTCCCACAATCATTTTCAGGCTAGAGCCAACTTTGCTGGACGTCAATCACAACAACAACCATCATGGATCATTGACACGGGGGCCACACATCACATTGCCTCAGATGCTAAAAGCCTAGCAACTGCTCAAGACTACCACGAACTTGAGGAAATCGCCATGGGTAATGGTACTACCATACCTATCTCCCAAACTGGTAACACTGAACTTAAAGCATCAAATTATCGCTTTACCCTATCTAAAACTCTCTGTTCTTCTGCCATAAAAAATAATCTCATATTTGTCTCTCAATTTTGTCGTGATATTAACATATCCATGGAATTCTTTCCATTTTCTTATATTGTGAACGATCTGAATACGGGATTGGCGCTAGTTCGAGGGCGGAGTAATGGACGATTGTACATGTGGCCACCAGATAGGCATTCCCAATGCAACATGGTTGTTCCAATTCAACTGTGGCACCGACGTTTGGGTCATCCAAATCGTCGCACTTTAAATAATATTTTGCATAAATTTTCAATTCCCGTTAGTTCTTCGAGAGTCAGTGCTGATTGTAATTCTTGTAATTCTAATAAAAGCCACAGGTTACCTTTCTCAGTTAACTCCCTGAAGAGTCAACGACCCTTACAAACAATTTATAATGATTTATGGGGGCCTGCACCAATTTTATCCATCAATAAAAAAAGGTACTATGTTATATTTGTGGATCACTTTTCAAAATATATGCGGCTATACACCTTAAAATCTAAACATGAAGTTTTGAAAGTTTTTAGAACGCTACATCCACTCTTAGAAAGACGATTTCTTCTTTTTGTACTGACGGAGGAGGTAAATTTTGAAGCTTAACTTCCTATTTAAAATCAAAGGATATTGAGCACTTGGTTTCCCCACCATACACTCCTTAACGAGTTGCATTGGTAGAACGTCGTCACTGACATGTTATTGAAACTGCAAAAACACTTTTACACCAAGCCTCGTTACCCTCTAAATTTTGGAATTTGCCCGCCACCAAGCTGTTTATCTTATAAATAGACTCACTATATCGGTTTTAAATAATCAGTGCCCGTATGAAATTTTATTTCAAGAAGCACCAAATTATGAGTCTATTAAAACTTTTGGTTGTTTATGTTATCCATGGATCAGACCATATGTCAAAAATAAACTAGAACCCAAGTCAATGCCCTGTGTTTATTTAGGTTTTTCGAATAAATATTATTATCATCTGTATTTTGATCCCGTCGCCTCTAAAATCTATCTTTCTAGAGATGTGGTATTTTTTGAAAATAATTATCCCTTTGCAAATATCTTTAAAAAATATAGGGATACTAATAAACTCCCGGCATGGGATACATTAGATAAAAATATTAGCTTTAAAAGGAAAATACAGATATATCTCCTTTAAGTGCAAATTCTGAATTGCCACCTCCAATTTCCAGGCATATACAGTCGCCAATTGCTTCTCCTCTTCCTATGCGTGCCTCTTCAAGTTCAAGTAATGATCCTTCTTCCTCTAATTTCTCCGGGCAAGATAATCATAACCAATCTTCACAACCCAAATCTAACTCCTCTGACCAAGATAACCAAAACCCATCTCCAATTTCGAACCAGCCCACCTCGGCAACTCCTCCAAGATCCACACAACCTATCCCCATAACCTACCAATGTCGGAACACACTCCCCCAGCTTGTACCACACACCAATCAACCTCACCCTCTACGACCACGCCTACCCAACCTCCACCTCGTCACCCAATGGTCACAAGGTCTCAGACGAACAATCTAAAACCCAAGCAATTTCACCTATCAGTTCAATCCAAACTCATGCATGAACCTATACCAAAGACCTTCAAACAAGCAGAATCTTACCCTTACTGGCGGACTGCTATGCAGTCTGAATTTGATGCTTTAGTTAGAAACAGGACTTGGGACTTAGTACCCAGCGATCCCTTAAGGAATGTGGTTGAATGTAGATGGTTGTTTAGGCTTAAGCATAAGCCTGATGGTTCGATTGACAGATACCAAGCAAGAGTTGTTGCGAAAGGCTTCACACAACGACCTGGTTTAGACTATCACTCAACTTTTAGCCCGGTGGTTAAACCTTCAACTGTTCGTTTAGTTTTTGCTATTGCAACCCAACTATCCTGGCCCATTTACCAGTTGGATGTTAATAACGCCTTTTTACAGGGAAAGCTTGAAGAAGAGGTATACACGAAGTAGCCTACAGGTTATGAATCTAGACAATATCCTACTCATGTATGTAAACTAAATAAAGCTATCTATAGTTTGAAACAAGCTCCACGAGATTGGTACACTGAGCTGAAAAATTCTATTCTTACCCTTGGTTTTATCAAGTGCTAATCTGATCTATTGAATATGCGACAAAAAACTTTTTTCACCAATTCTTGTTTATTTTTTTGCATAACACAAGTATTCGTTTGCATAATACAAATTGAGGACTAAAGAAAACTTTAAGATAAACCAGTTACAATTGAATTTATCTGATGGAAGGACCATACATCCAGCAGTTGTTTGAGCCAGACAGACAACTAAGAAGCTTTTGAACAATATGGAGAAATTCAGATTATATATGACCGATAGGAGAACCTTATAAATAAAAATTGACCGATAGTAGATTGATGAGAGGCAGGTTGAAAGGGAAACTTCTATAGAATTGGACAAAGAATGCCTCCCTCTTTTTGAGTAGTTAATTCATGAACTGAGAGATAACAGATAGTAAGAAACAGCTCCAAGGTTACTTTTCTCTCTCTACCAGTTTTACTGTGGCTAAGTAAATTACAAAGTACCCTCTAACATTCTCAAGCATTCATGTTAACAAGTCCATCCTTTAGGAGTCAAGGAAAGCAATAGAACTATTCAGATAGAGAAATCTGCTAATAAGAAGCGATTTGATATCTATGAATTTCCAATGGCATGTCTATAAGTGTCCTTTGAAATGAGGTCCGTGATTTGAGTTTGTATTTTCAATTTGAACTTCATATTCAGATCCGCTGTAAAGCATTTAAGCCTTGTGAATTTCAAATATATAGAACGAAATCTCTCAAATTCAAATGGCTTTGTATACTGCAAACTCATTTGCTCCTTTTTTTTTTTGGTTGCAAACAGACATTATTATACTCCTTCCCTAAATCCTAACACTTCATCATTCCCCTTCTCTGCTCCCAAATGTCGATTATTTGCTATCTTCTAAAACAGTTCTCCTCCATGCTAATCTGCCAGTCCTTTTTACTTATCAAGCTATCAATATTGACTAACCTTTGAACCTAAATTAGATATAACTGAGATATTTATAAATTACTAAACGTACAACTACAAGTTACAACTTTATCTTATCTGAATTCCGAATGACTAACTTAAAGATTTGTCAAAAAGGACATTTTGATGGACAACCATAATCGAAAAAGATGACTAGGTTAATACTCTAGGAATCAAAGTAAGCATTTTGAAGCATACCTATGTAATTAAATTGTCTACGCTTTCCTTCTCGAACGTCAGGACCTAGTCTCTGCAACAAAATGAGCAAGCATAAATTCATCACTGACCACAAAAAATAAGCAATAAAATCTCAAAACTGCTCGAAATAAAGCTTCAAAANGTAAGCATTTTGAAGCATACCTATGTAATTAAATTGTCTTCGCTTTCCTTCTCGAACGTCAGGACCTAGTCTCTGCGGCAAACAAGCAAGCATAAATTCATAACTGACCACGAAAAAGAAGCAATAAAATCTCAAAATTGCTCGAAATAAAGCTTCAAAAGTATTTACCTTGACTAGCAGGACGGCATCCAATACCTCTTGCTCCGTCGAAGCCACTCTACAGTGAAAACCAAAATATAAGAGTAAAACACTAAATTATATCCTTTGCAACTTGTAATTAGAAGTGCTCAATTTACCTGAGAATGTGCTTAATTTGAGGAGGAGAGAACTTAGCTAAATCCATGGCCCACCGAACAGCGCGACGAGCTTCACGCTTCTTCTCGTTGCGACTCTTCCTTGTTTTTCCATCGGAATCACTCTCACTCTCATAGGGATCCGGAGGTAATAAAGTATCACGCGATTTAACGGCGGCGCCGGAACGAAAATGAGCTTGCCGGAAAGCGGAATGTGATGCCGTGGATAACGGCGGTTGACGGACGTTACTGCTCGAGAAGAGTGGAATTGGTGATTGAACCAGGTGAACGAATGAGGCGCGAACGTATAAATAGTGATGCCATTTTGGCCAATTCATTAGAGGCTTAACTACATGAGCCATTTCTGCTGCAACTGTGTTAGCTTTTCCAGTTGGGAGAGACGACTTGAAAAGATTTATTCAGGTAAAAATAGCAAGCTATAACTATTTTTCGGTCATTTAAAATGTTCTTATGCCGTTGATGAAACATTATTATAAAAAATGTGCATAGTTTCTAATTTACCCGTTCTGTTCATATTTTTTCTACAGTTATTATACCAATCATTAAATACTAATTAATAGTAGTTGAATCTTCTTAATTTGTCGAGCTAAAATTCAGGAACAGAATCTTCTAAAAAAATTTGGCGTAAATCAGATCAAATCATATCACGGAAATCCTTTATCTTCAATTTATAATCAAATTCTATTTTTCGATATTCTCACAATCGCTACAAATCAAAATCTCAGTTCGTCGAAATCAGAAGCTCAATTTCAAATTGTAGAAATCAGTTCTGCAAATCTCAGTTTGACGACTTTTTTCCTCAATCCACTAATCAAAAAGGCGACAAAATATTCAACAAATTCAAGTCAAATTGTAGAAATCGATTCTGCCGATTCTCTGTCCTTCGTCTTTTTTTCTTAATCCAAAAAATCAAAAAAGCGACAAAATATTAAACAATACTTCAGCAACGACACGCAATCATGTCCAAAATCTCAATCATGCTACATTTTAATGACAATTGGATAGCTATGGCAGATTTAGAGATTTTCAAGTTGATGGTATTGTGCTTGATGAGGATGCAAATTACAGTATGTTGATTTCTACAATTACAGAGCAATTAATGATTGATACTTCGAAAAAATTGTAGAAATCAAATATATTGTGAATGAGAATTGTCCTCCAATGGAGATTAGGAACAATATGGGGGTTAGTGTGTATATGGAGACAAAAAAGGAGAATAAAACTTAGGATCGTATCCGTTACTCATAAGTTACGAGATTTCAGTATGAAATTGGCTATTACAAATGAGAACACAAGTGCAGGTTTGTTATGTTTCAAATTCTATGGAAGTCTGATTTTACGATAATATCTACAAAATTCCTACATTTAGCTACAAATAAACTACAAATCAGTTTTATGATGTATAAAGCAATATTGTTTTCATGCTTATCAACAAAATTACTACAATTAAGCTACAATCCATGTTGAAAAAAAATTGACTACAAAATTTTCTATTCATCTACAATTTATCTACAAAGATTCTACAAAATTATATATGACACTATTTATCTTTATTTTTATGTAGGTTCGCCTGGGACAATACAGTTACTTGATATGCCAGCTTCTCCCGTCATAGAGGAATATCAAAGTGAAATAATAACTGAAGGTACACAAAGTGTTATCGAAGAAGGACAAGTGTATCAAGACAAGCAAATAATTGCAACTGCAATGAGGCACTATTCTGTCATGCACAAGTTCCAATTCAGGGTTAAAAGATCTAGCCACATAAGGTATGAAGATATTAATTGTGAAAAGACCTTTATAAACAGTATTTTCCTTGTGATATGTAGATGAAAAATAGTTATATTGTATAGTGTGTTACTTTATGTTAAAACAATCATTTTGTTAAATCTACATTGATAACCTGTATTATAAATGTATTTTTTTGTAGCTACTGGCTCATATGCGTTGCAGAAAACTGTAATTGGCACTTCAAGGCAACATCAATTAATGATTCTGCAATGTTCAAGATCAGGAGTTTCAACCGACAACACACATGCATCTTAATGGACGATACATTCATACAGCGCAAACGTACTGCAGTTGTAGTTGGTAGCATGGTCATGCCAAAGTATTGTGATCCTAAGACAGTTTACACACCAAAAGGACATACAAACTGATATGTTGTCCCAACACGGAGTGAACCTAAGCTACATGCAAGCATGGAGGGCAAAGGAAAAGTCTTTACACAGTTATTGAGAGGTCATACGGCTGACTCCTACAACAAATTACCAAAATATTTTTATATTCTTAAGAAGACGTATCCTGGTTCAGTTGTTAAATTGAAGAAGACAACAAATGAATGCTTCTTATATGCATTTGTTGCTTTTTGTACATCAATAAGTGGTTAGGAATATTGTAGACCAGTAGTAGTGGTTGATGGGACATTCTTAAAGACATCCTACAGGGGGATTATGTTGACAACAAGCACAATGGATGCAACATGTAAAATTGTAGTTATTCTGTAGGCAGTTTATAAATTGTAAATACATTGTAGATATTATATATATATATATATATTATAGTTTATATGTATTTATGTTTTCATATGCATTTCAAATCTGCCAGTTAATTATTTTTTTACTAATAATGTAGGTACAATATTGCCTTTGGCATATGCTGTGGTCGATTCGGAAAATGATGAATCATGGAAGTGGTTTTTTGAGCAATTCAAGCAAGCATATGGTGAAAGAACTTCAATGTGTGTTGTTTCAGATAGGAATGAGAGTATCCTGAAGACAACATCAATTGTCTATCCGGGCGTGCCACACTACTCTTGCGTGTCGCAAATTTGGACAAATATAAGGGCAAAGTTCAAGAAGGGTCATCTACAATTAAATGAATTGTACTTTGCTAGAGCAGGGTCATGCACTCTGGATGAATTTAATGAAAGGATGTCGAAGATTGAAGAGATAGACCGGCGTGTTAAATCATACTTCTATGATATTGGCTATCATAGATGGTCAAGAGTACATGCAACGGTGAATAAAACTTGGACTATGACATCAAACATTGTCGAGTCATTGAATGCTGTAACAAAAGAGGCAAGAGAGTTGTCAATATTTGACCTATTAGAGTATATGAGGACACTTCTTGAACGTTGGACGAAAGAGAAGTTATTGAAGGCAAAGGGTACTTTCACATACCTTGGGTACAAACTCAACAAAGAATTGGAGAAAAACAGTACATTATCTTAGAAACTTAGGGTAAGATCTGTTTATTTGGTGCAGAAAATTAATTAATTAAAATACATTGTTTCCAGATTGTAGATAAATTGTAGACAAATTGTAGTTAATTTGTAGATTGTAGATAATTTCTAGATATAATTATAGATACATTGTAGGTAAATTGTAGATAATCTATTTTTATGATTGTAAATATTTTTCTTTCTGTTTGTTATGTAATTGTAGGTGAGGGCTTCAATAGATCATATCCATACTGTGATAGATGGTGTGAAGCGGTACATTGTGTGTCTTAAAAGCAAGAAATGTAGCTGTGGCCAGTTCAAACTTGATGAACTTCCATGTCTGCATGCTTTGGCAGCTCTAAGGCATAGGAATGAAACTTATGAAAACTATTGCTCTTCGTATTACACAAGGGAGAGCCTGCTGCGTACATATGAAATACCAGTAAATCCTCTTCCTGATGAAAGCAAATGGAATGTTCCACAACATATATCTGATGAAGTAGTAAATCCACCTATGGGAGAGAAAAAGCAGCCAGGAAGACCTCAAAAGGAAAGATACAAAACATTTGATGAACTAAAGTCAAAGAAGTACAAGGTGTCATGTGGCAACTATGGAGGTGAAGGGCATAACAAAAGATCTTGCAAGAATGCACCCAAAAAGAAATAAATATCGTGTAGTTAGAATAGTATTTCAACATAATTGTTAGTGTGTTCAAGTTAACAGAATTTTGTGTGTAATCGTTTAAGTTTTGAAAGATCATAATGTAGTTAACTTCAATTTGTGTTTGTTACATGTTTTTCTGTATTGTGTCAATCATCTACCTCCATTTTTTACATTATGTACATAGCAGTTAATATTTATTATCTACAATATAACTACAAGTTAAAAAAAATTAATGTAACTTGAACTGACAGTTATATATAGAAAGTAAATACAACTGGAGGTATTCCCTACAAATTATATACATATTCAACTGTAAAATTATATACAATCTCAACATTCAGTGTTTCCAGATTGTGGATAATTTGAAGTTTTTTTGTAGATAATTTGTATTCTAACAACATAATAACTATTTTGAAGATAATGAAGAATAAGTGCTGTAAATATTAAATAACTGGAGATAAAACCACCAAGTTATTTTCAAGTGAACTACTAAACTGGATAGAAATTAACAAAACAAAAGGTATGCTACAATAAAAACACAAAAGAAATGTTCAGAAAGTTGTGTACTATATTTCTCCTACAAACTAGCATCAACTAAATTACAACATGACACTACTTCTTCTTTCTTTGGACTCTTGTTTTCTCATTCAATGCAGGTGCACCCTTCCTCCTTGCTAGTCTTCCTGTAACCTCACTTTCACTGATTGACCCATCTTCCTGTTTCTTTGTAGCATAGTCCCATAGGAGCGCTCCATAGAGTCTACGATGTTGGTCAATATCAGAAAAGTCTTCTGCAGGAATTGACAAATCTCCAAGGATAACATACTCCACAAATGCAGCAACAAATACACCACAATCGCTGCAGAAACACAATTTTTTTTAAATATTTACCAAATAATTAGAAATAAAAAAAGAACTAAATACAAAGAAAGAGAGAATAGATCTTTTACAGTGACCTTTCTTTTTGCTGTGGAATCTCTGCAACCATCCACTGAATGTTAAGAGGGTCGGTAACAGGTTTCTCGATGTATGCCTTTGTATTCATGAAGTTAATGTCCTTACGCTTCCCATAGAAATCAGTGCATGACAAATACAAAGGGATAATAACAGAAAACTTTTCGACACAGGATTCAACAACATGATTGTTGTGTGAAGAGACCATGGAATCATACGCATAAAGTTGCATGTCTGCAACGTCAAAAACGACCAACACCTAATGGAATCTTTAATATTAACGGGCATGATGACATAGTCAACTTCATCCCATGCAACATTGGCAAGTAGTCTATACCCCAAAATATATTCTGCAACAACATCTTGGGGTTTAACAACCGAATACTTCTCTTGTGAAGGTGAATTTATGAACTTTTCATAAATATGTTCTATCCTGGTCTTGAACACACAATTCGTTGTGGTAAACCTGGTCTTGTTATTGGGGCCATACTTGCCTCTTTTCCTCAAGTAATACATTATTACATTAATGTGATGCACCCAAAAATAGTTGGCATATAAATAACAACTCAACTTCAGA